CCCAATTCCAGCAACCGTTCCTTATATGTTTTAGCCTCCAGTCCTCTAATCATCTTTGTTCCTCTTCTCTATACTCTTTCTAGAGTCTCAGAATCTTTTTTGCATTATATACACTACATAGTTTTGAGAACCATTTTGTAAGGACTATAATTTGTTGTTTAGGGGAATGGGTGTGATGTTAAAAATAAAATTCAATCAGTTGCAACTGAAGTTCTGTGAAAAAAGGTGGAAGAAAATTGCAGAGATAGGATATTTTAACTTTGAAAAATAAGGGAGATGAATTTGTTTTAGTGATTAAGGCACCAATCTAGAATCCAGGGGACTGGATTTAGTCCCATCTTACATATTAGATCAGTTGGGTAACTTTGGGCCATACACTCTCAGCCCAACTCATGTCACAAGGTTGTTGTGGGGAAATAGGAGGAGAAAGAAGGTATATTGTGTGTGTTTGCTGCCTTGAGTTAATTATGAAAATAATGCAGATGGGATATAAATAAATAATAATATTTAAAGTACATCCCAGAGAAGAATTCAATATTATTATTGTCCTTGGTGGTCTCTCACTCTTTTGGTTTTTTTCAATATGTTTCTCATAATATTACTGCTCACGGATTCTTTCCTTTTAAATTATTTTAAAATAACTGCAGAGTGTGAGTTGTTCAATATTATACCAACTCTATTTATGTTTGTTTCACAATATATGTCAAAATTCATGCGTGCTATAAGCACAAGCACATAGTATTATGAAGTGCAATTTCACTGTATTTGTTATTAGGAAAGGGAGCAGGTTTTCCCATTTGTTTTCATCATTATTTTTGCTATAACTGGAAACATGCTGCTAATACATTATGTAGAAATAAAAGCAACTCAGACACACTGTAAATAATTCTAGGAGGCCACAGTAGATTATATATCCATTAATGGCTGGGAGAAGTTTTCTTCTCAAAGCAGAGAAGAAGCTTTCATATCCAGAACTGGAGAAAGCGTGTAAATCCTCTACCTAATAAAATTTGCAATTCCTTTATATGGTGAGGAAGAATATTTCCAATTCATGCCCTAGTCTATAAATTGGTTCCAAAGGCAATTATTGTCGCCCATTGAAAATGTAGCAAAACATAGTACAAGGTCCTCAACATACAACAGATCATTTGGTGATCGTTCAAAGTTACAACAGTACTGAAAAAAGTGACGATCATTTTTCACACTTACAACCATTGCAGCATGCCATTAGTCACGTGATCAAAATTTGGATGTTTGGCAACTGGCTCATATTTATGACTCTTGCATTGTCCTGGGATCATGGGATCTCTTTCTGTAACCTTCTGACCAGCAAAGTGAATGGGGAAGCCAGATTCACATAATAATAATGTTCCTGACTTAACATCTGCCATGATTCACTTAACAACTGTGGCAAGAAAAGTTGTAAACTGCGGCAAAACTCACTTAACAAATTTTTCATTTAGCAACAGAAATTTTGGGCTCAATTGCTGTCGTAAGTCAAGAACTAACTGTAGTAGCTGAGAGAAAGCTAGATGGGAAAAGTGCCAAAAAGGGGGATGCTGCACTGTTTTCTTGTGATTCCTTAAAAAAAATGTTCAGTGCATCCAGGATTTTAATATTAAAACTCTTTCAGAAATAAAGCCCACCGAGGAAGTAAAGTTTAGCAAGGTTATTATTTTTCTTTCTAAAGGGCAGTTTTCATATTATAGTATGTGAAATAGTTTTGGTCAAAAAGACTGTACAGACTTGTAAGCATAGAAACTATGCACAAATTAAAGTTTATACCACTTTATTTTCAGTGTTACAAAAACAGTATTTAGGTTTACCTTCTTTTCAGTTTTTTATAAATTATCAATTTCAAAGTGTCCATCCATTTTTGTTGGTGTTCTTTTGTAGCATGCTAAGCTTTATATAGTTGTTAATGTATGTAGTTTTCTGGTCAATTTCTTTGGAAACTGTCTAATGCACGTTTCATTAATATCATTAATTGTTGCACAATTTTTCTAATACATTAAGGTGACCAACCGTCCTCCTTTAGGGAGGACAGTCCTTCTTTTGTAAGTTCTGTCTTCCCTTGAAAAGTGTCTTCCTACATGTCCTCCTTTTTGATATTTGAAGACTAATCTGCAGGGCTTTTTTTTCCCTCATAGAACGCTCAGAACGGCGTTCCAGTATCTTTTTTTGATGGTTTTTTTTTTCAACTTTTGCAAGAGCTGTGCTACTTCTGCTATTGGCTTTCAAAAGCCAATAGAAATTACTGCTGAGCGCGCCAAAACACCTGGCTGGCAAACTTTGCACATGCAAGTTGTCTGCAGCAAAGGCAAATTGGCAGGAACTTTGCACCCCTCCCTGCTATCCAACTCCACCATCTCCTAGTTAGTCCCGAAGATAACTGGAGGAGACTGGAGCGGCGACGCCACGGTAAGTTTCTCTTGATGTTTGGCCCTGCTAGGGCAATAATGGCTGCGGGTGCAAGAGGCAGGGGCGGCAGGGCTGCTGCGGGCAGGGGTGTGAGGGGCGGTGGTGGCTGGCTGCCCCTGTGCTGTGGGAGCCACGGGGCCTGCTCTACACGGGGCTGCGCAGGGTGGGCGATGGTGCTGGAGGGGTGGCTGCAGATGGGGTGTGTTGGCGGGCTGCCTCCCGGGGCCGGAGCCGGCGCAACTGGTGCTTTGGGAGCTGCAGGGCCCGCTCTACATGGGGTAGCGATGCTGGCGGGGCGGCTGCAGGTGGGGGTGTGGTGAGCAGTTGACCTTCCATGGGCCGGGCCAGCTGATGGTCTATCCAGTGCTGGACCTGCGCTGCCACCACCTCTCCCTGCACACCTACGTGGCCGTCCTGGAGTGCCTGGCCCACAGCACCTGCCTCCACTGCCCACCCCGTGCAGTACTCATTTAAATAATAATTAATAGGTATGTAAACATAATTACAATATAAAATTTTATTGTTACAAATGTTTTTATTATGCATTTATCATATTATAGCGTATTCTGTATTATTGTTGCAATGAATAAAATGTTTCTTTTATTTACGATATTTTTTTCTTCAATTTATTTGTGTCCTCCTTTTCATGTAAAAAAGTTGGACACCTTATAATACATGCTTCTAAAATACAAATTTGCTAGATTTAAATTTTCTTTAGAAACCTGAATTCATTTTTCTGACCACATCTCTTGCAATAAATGGTTTTATTATGCAGATTTTGACCAGGTAAAGACTGATACAAAGAATATCAATTCAATATTGCAGTCAGATGCATTTTGGGGGTCATTAAATCTTCTTTATTTGCATCCTAAATGTTTACCACAAACAGTATCTATTTGCTATTTTAATACTACATCTTATTTATTGTTAGAATAGCATTATATAATTGTATTTGTAAAAGATTGCATTTTTTTATTACATTTATTGTTGTAAATACTCAACATAGCATGGTGTTTAAACTAGATATTTGAAACCAGAACTTTAGAAGCTGTTTCAGAGGACTCAAGACAGGAGTCAGCAAATACTTATTTATTGCTTCCACATGTCAAAAAGTAGTATTCAGATCTCACAAACAGTGGTACTGTATTCTTTTAAAAAGTATCTATTTATCTTAATATCATGTACAGTGTTAACCAGGAATTTTAAGTGTGACCTGGAAATTGAAACTGGGTAAGGTATTGACATTTCAGGATTCTAATAATGAGTTTGTAAATGGTGTGAAAAGTAACCCTCTTGATGAAATAACTAATCACTAAAGGCTCTAGTTTTGCAGGCAAGAGTTTCTATTGTGCTGAGGTTTAGTCCTTTCTACTTTAAAAATAAATAAAGCTACCTGTTTTCCTTTCTCATACATCATGCTTTAACATAATTCTCATTCCTTTACACCAGCCAATTTAAGTTGGCAAAATTCCTGACATACAAACCTGCTTGGTACATAACTGTTAAATATGAGACTGTCAGAGACAGAGAGAGAGAAAATCTCTTACTGAGATTTTTAAAAGATCTTTTCATCTTGTTTACAAAGAAATATTATTAACGATTTCATTACATTGATTGCTGCTGTTACTTATTCATAACAACAAGTTAGATCAATTCATAATTATTCTAAAGCAGTCTTAAACTTTTTTACATAGTATTATGTAACATAGAAATTACAATCTATATGTAATATGGAAATGCATAATCTGATTGGCTGCATGTTTCTAAACTTTGCAATATGTAATGTGACAGATGCAGAAAAATTGTTGAATTCAAGACTTGGGTAATCATATATTGTTAAATTTTAATTAAGTTTAAATATAAATGTTTAATTTGTTTAAGAATTTAAACAATATTTCTATAGCAATTTTTCTCGATGTTGGCAACTTTAAGTTTTTGGACTTCAACTGCCATGTTGCCTGGGAATTGAAATCCATACTTCTTAAAATTGCAAAGGTTGAAAACACTGCTTTGTGGTTTATATCTGAAAAGCTAAGTGTGAACCTCAGCTTGGAAAGAAGTATGGATCTTTCTTGTAGCATTTGTCTACTGAAGCACTATAGTAGAGTGATCAGTACTGATTGGCCATTTTATAACAGACTGTTAACTAAAACTGAATTAATTGAATGCGCCGATCGACACTTTAGAGCAGAAAAAGCAGGGGTGCAAATTTCAGCACATAAATCAGTGTGCTTTCCAAGAATTTTTTTTCCTATCACAAACTTTTTAAAACTTTGGGCAGAACAAAACTGGATTGAACTCTATAGAATATAAATATTAGACTTGAATATTTTAAGGGCATGACTTGCATGCTAAGGATTGGCTTCCTGCTTTGCATATAGAAAAAATTATAATGTGCTAGAACTGTGGGCTGCTGTGTGAACTTTTCTTTTAAAGATCTAGCTTATTGGGGAAAAGAAGTGCTTTATTGACAATTTTATGGATACATATATTTATAAAGAGCACGATGTCTTATAATCTTAATAAACATAGAAAAGATGATAATCAGTTTAGATCTTATTTTAAATTTTAAAAATTTCACACAAACTTGATCACTGGCTCTGCATGATTTAACAGAAGCAACGGAACAGGTTTGCTAAATTAAACAGGATAACAGAAGTTTATTAAATACACCATAGCAAGGCTGCTTGCTATATACCATGACAACATAAACAGTCCCTAGTTTTTTAAAAGTTGCATTGGTTTAGCTGTTATTCTGTTGTTCATTATACTGACTTGTTAAATGCTCTTTAACTTTATAATGAGTATAAGCATAGGGTCTTGCTGATTCTCCCATACTGTATTTTAACAAAGCTGATAATAAAACACACATTTGGAGCCTCCTATTAAGATTTCCACAAAACGTGGTGGTTATAGAAAGAATTTAAATCAGATCTTATAGCTCCCCCATGTGGAAATTTAAAACATTGAATGTAAGAATGAAATAAAATTAGCAACAATACTATTTAAAATTATTAAAAAAATTATGTTATGTTTTTATAATTTATATTTTGGAGGCAAACTCTTCAATAAGTACCTTTGACAATCTGATTTTAGATGGTAAGATTACAAAATAATAAATACTTTATAAAGTGGTTACTTGTTATTTTAACCCAAATAACCCAAATTACAATATTAAAAAGCATAAATGTCATTTGTATCTTGTTAAAATATCTGAAGTTTCAAAAAATGTATATATAATGGAAAGCTTCTATGATTAACAATCTTGGGTCCAGTAATTAGAGACCCAGATTTCTCATTTTTGTTAGGAAGCCTAAGATTTTAATACAGAAAAAAGTACTTCTCTCTATTTTGATACAATCTTTTGTTTTACTTAGATATTATCAATTTCTCCTTATTTTCTTCTAGATTTCAATTTCTTGAACTACTTTATAAAACTATGGTTATGTATTTTTTCTCAGGCAGAAACTAGGAATGTCAGTCGTGTAAAAATTCATCTTGAATGCGAACTTGTATCATTATTTTAAGATATGTCATGTATGCTCTTAAATTTGCTTTTAAGACTATCAGCATTTTATCTATGAACTGTTGTTAGATATGACTTGAATCAGTCCTGATTCATTGTTCAGGTATACATTAACTTATTCAGATATACATTAGCATATATTTGAGTATTTTTTACCGAGCTGCGATGACATAGTGGTTAAAGTGGAATATTTTAAGCTAACTCTGCCCACAGCCAGAAGTTTGATTCTGACCAGCTCAAGGTTGACTCAGCCTTCCATCCTTCCAAGGTCGGTAAAATGAAGACCCAAATTGTTGGGAAAATATTCTGACTCTGTAAAGTATAAACCCGTATATAAAACTAAGTGCTATTGCTAAGCGCTATATACATTGAAGTTATCTTTTCAAAATTAAATCTCCCATCTTTATCAGCTTTAGGTCTTTTTCAAGTAATATGTGGCCTATTTTAATATTAATGTATGAACATTATTAGAATTATTTAAAAATTACTTTTAAACATTCTCTTCTGCAAATAGTTAGTTTTATTAAGCATAGACATTTTTATTCTAGATATTCTTTCTCTTTAATTTCAAGCTGGATATTACCTAACATGTGTTTCTGTGCTTAGGGACAACTCTGTGAATGTCCTGGAGTGACCCAGCCAGAGCCCTGACTGGAACTCTATGGAGCATCTCTGGAGGGATCTGAAAATGTCTCAGAGTCATGTGATTCCCTTTTTCAATCTTCTGATAAGTCAATGGAGACACAAAATTCACTTAACAATTGCACACTCACTGTTGGTTCTTAGTCAAGTGATCGTCCACTAGGACTCCAAAGTCCCTCTCACAGTTGCTGTTTTTAAGCCAAGTCTTCTTCTTGATTAATATATTATATTGTATAATGTATCCTCATATCACAGCTTTACAAGCATCCCAAATTGGTACCCTTGCCCAGATTGGTACCCTTGTTGTCAAATTGGTACCCTTGCCCAGGTTATTGTTAAAATAAACTTGGAATACTTTTTATATTCTTTAACAAGCTGTGATTGCTGCAAAACAGGCTTGTTTAATTCCCATTTGAAAGACTGGGATCCAAATTTAAGATATAAGGTCATTGGGTTAGGGGCAAAAGAAGATTTTGGAAAAATATTATCTTTAATTGTTTTATGGAACAATTTTTTTTGTAATGCACATCACATCAATTCTAGAAAAAGATTTATGTCTCTCAAGAGAAAAAAAGGGTAGCCTTTTGCCAGTCCACTTTTAAATCTCTGTACATCAATCAAACCTAAGATATCAGTCAGTTCAAAAAAGGTTGGGACAGTTTCCTTTGTGTTTCTTTAATTCCTTTGCCAACTAATTTATCCAACTGTGGAATACATCAATACTGAAAAGAATAGGACAGTAACTGTTCAGACATGTATTTAAAAAACTTAGCTTTTTCTTGATATGTGATATATAAACCCACTGCACTAAATTTTATTCCCTGTAGCTCAGTTTGTACAATTGCATATCTACCTTGGTCATCAGCAAACAATAAGTATGGTTATAATTGGGGGTTTTTATACAGAGCTACCTCCTTAGTTTTCTTCTTACAATTGGCAGAGATATATTCAGAAGAGCTCAAAGAACCCCAATTGTGCCCTTCAAAGTCATCAAAGAAATTGTCTGAAAATCAGTTTCCAAGATCTTCATCTCAACAACAATCAGAATTTCAAAAGAGTGCAAGAAAAAATAATGGTATTCTTTTAATCAACTCAACAGAGAATAAACTCAACAGAGAAATGTGTTTTCCAGAAAATAGATTTTTCTAAAGTCCTAGAACTTGGAAAATAAAGCTAGAGCTATAGCAACAGAAGTTGGACTATGCCAAATATTTTAGCAATCATAACGTTACACTGCAACCTCAAGCATTTTAATGTTTTTAAAGAAGCATTAAAATTGCGTTTTCAGCATTTCAGCATTTAACATAGAATGCGAATGTTTAAATCCAATTCAACATGATGCCAGTTTGTACTATAAATTTCAAGTAATATGTGTCCATAATTTGTCATGGTTTATTAGTGGCTATCACAAATGTTGGAAAAGTACATGTCCCTTTATTGTTTAAGGGATAAATCAGCAAGTGCCTTGCAGGAATGAAACAGGGAGGTGTGAGATCTTGCAAAAGCAGGCTAACAAGAGACAATAGAGAATAAAGGGCTTAAAGATGAATTGCTGTATTCTGAAAAACAGGAATTGATTTCTGCTGAGGTTTGAATTTTAGATCTCCTTATTGCAACATTCACTTTAAAAAAAATAAAATAGGAAGTAGGTTTACATATGAGCCAATCTGGGGGACGTTTTGTGGAAGCAAAATTGTGAATTGTGGCTGTTGGTTAAAATGAAATGAACTTTATACATATTTCCTTTCTTGCTTCACACTTTCAACCATTATTTATCAGTATGTTCCATGCATTGTGTGTATGTTACAGAAATTGGATTACTAGCAATAAAATACAAGCATTCTGAATATAAACAATTGTTAAAAAGAATAAATACTTTCAAAACAGGAAGGTTGGTTGAAGTGGGTTAGTGAGCTCCATTTTTTAAATTAGAAAGTTTAAATGATTTAATTAAAAAATAATCAAGATTTTGTATGGTCCCTTAGATCTGATTAGATGCTGTTTAACCTATGTGAAGTTGCTTATACTGTATGATTCACTTTAGATTTGCAGTTTTGTAATCTTAACACCAGAACAAAAATATACATAATATGGATGAAACTTACATTTAATTTTCTTTTTGACTAGCTCTGACTGCAACTGTATAATATAAAACTGAAATAACTTTTCAGGAAATTTTAAACCTCACTGGAACAGTGAGTGACTGGAAAGGAAAGGAAAGGAAAGGAAGGAAAAAAGAAAAGAAAAAAGAGGGAGGGAAGGAGGAAGGAAGGAAGGAAGGAAGGAAGGAAGGAAGGAAGGAAGGAAGGAAGGAAGGAAGGAAAGTCAGAGGGAGCATTTATAGTAGGTCTGCTTACAGCCATGCTGATCTGGTTTTTGTCAGTCAAAATTGTATCATTCTTACTTCCAACCCTGTTTGGATTTCTAACTCAAAAAAGAATAAAAGAATCAGAGAAAGAAGAGAAAAAAGATTGATACTAATATATTTAGTATCATAAAATGGTAGTCTTTCAACAGTTGGTTATATTGAATATGGTACCAGCAAGTATATGTTTAAAAAGTTAGTTGTGTCTTTCAGCAGGAAGAAATTCATCATAAAAGTGGGTCTCAAGAAGAAAGATGGACTGTTGCCTTATATAAGCTGGAATAGACATAGTGTCAGGGCCCACTTCAAAACCTCATCCTAAGAAAGCAGAACTCGTGGAAGCAGTTTCTTCCAAAAGGAACTTTTATTAGAAGAAGCTGAAAGCAGGCATAATAGACAGGATCTGAGGGTTTCCCACTCAGATCAATAGGTTAAAAGTGTCCCAAGCAAAGCCCACCCCAAAGTTTATCCGGCCAGTTCGAATGGGCCAATCCCCAGGTATTAAGTCCGTTGTGGGAAAGACCAGATAACACCAGGCTGTCTCAGGGTTGCAGAGATGTTTTGTCGGCTCTTCACACCTTCCGAAAGCGGAGATAAACCAGTTGCTGGAGACGCATTCCTTTCTTCTCCCCTCCCCCTTCTAGCTGACATCAAGGGGAAAGATAGTTGACAAAGAAAGTATGCAGAAACAGCAAAGTATTACAGTGTAGCGATAGAGGAAATCAGAGCAATAGCCCGCAGTGCTCCCCCCCTCCAGGAGCATGGCAGAACCCAAAAGTATAGAAAGAGTAGAGTTAGGATTAAAGGTAGAAAGGGGTCCCCTTAGAATATGGGTTCTGACACATAGGACAAATAGAAAAAATAAGAAGAAACATGTAAATATATCTTTATGGTATGCATCACAGATTTTACATATTTACATTTTTAAAGTAGAAGATCAACACTATTTCTACCACATAAATTTTATTGACTGTGCAGAGAGTGCTTCCACTAAAGCTATCTTTGAGTGTATTTTTATTCTGAATGTTCCTGTCTATAAAAGAAGGACATTTTTTTCTAGTTCCTTCCTCTTCTTCCATCACCATTTCCGCTGCAGTATCAGGGGATTTCTGTAATATTTTAAAATGAATGCTAAAAGGAATCTGAGGGAAGAGAAAATGAGGAATCTATTCTTT